TATGTATATATATATATATGTATATTAAAAAAGTGTTCTAACTTGTTTGTGTAAACTAACTTTTCTTTTACCCATGGAGGGTTTGCCTCTTCAGTTTCTGTTGCAATAAAACTGGTGATTAGTTTTTCCCAACACTCACATCTGACCTGCGGCGCTAACAGCAGCCTTTAGCTGATGTCTCGTCCCAGAAACTCTCACAGAGCTCTGCACGGTACAGTTTTTCTTTAAAAACATACCTGACTGGTTTACTTTTCTCAAGTTTTCACCAAGAGGCCGAAACGAGCAGCGGGGTGAGTCCTAATAATTTTTTAATTTGCAGCATCTGAGTTTTGCAGCAAACATTTTTAGGCCAGATCTCCTTTACTTGAACCACAGATGGTTGCGGCAATCTTAATGGAATAACCAGGATTATTCTACAGCCGGCTCTGGATAACATATGCTTAGTAGTACTTCTATAATTTAGTCTTCACATCTAAAAATAAAAATAATGCACAATGCAGAATTAAACTGTAACCTAAAACAAAGATCTTAAGAAACCATCATCAAGACTGATTCATCAGTTTAGGAAAAACAAAAAGAACAAATGTCTTGGAACAGACACTATTTAAAAGAATAAGAGCAAATGAAGAGTTTTCCCAGGTTATTATTGTCCCTGTACAGTTTACAGGGGAACACAGTATTTATGTCTCTGTACACGTGCAACAGCGCAGGGAGGAGGCCCGCTGAGCCTGTCGTGTGTTTCAGGACATCACCTTCATGACGGAGCTGCTCCTCTGCACACAAATCCTCATCTGCTCTCATTTTTTACAGCAGAACAAAAGAACACCTTCGCTAAACACCTGCGAATATCAAAAACACCCAGAAGTTTAAGTCAGAAGTTCAAAAATAAAAATTCTAGCCATGTTAGTTTACAAATTTAGCAGGAAGAGGGTTTAATTAATAACGGTTCATGTGTCTGATAGATTCTCGCTTTTGCAAATGAAACATAAACAATAAAAAGTTTGTGATTTCATTTTTATTTTATTGGTACAAAAGTATAAATTCAGCCTATAGTAACTGTGCAGCAAGCTGTTTACTTTAGAAAGTACTGAGGATTATTTTGAATATGCAAACATTTCTCCAACTTGGCCTCACTCCATAAAGGTAAAAGAAGTCCTCGTTATTTTTAAAATAAATGTCCTCCAGTTTATCTGCGTCTAATTGGATAAATGTTCTTCGCAGCTGAAACTTCACGTAGTCTCACTCTTAAAGAGCTGACTCAGTGGAGCAGTAACTGTTGGTGGTGGTGGTGGTGGTGGGGGGGGGGTGTCGGGGGTATAAACTCCCTCGTCTCAAAGCGCTGCTGCTCCTTCTCGCTGCTCATCATGAACTTTCTGAAGGAAAGATGCTTCTTCTGGAAAAGAACATCAGACGGACGTGTTTGTGCTTTTTAGCAGCAGCAGGAACGTGAGTCACACCCAACACAACCCAAGTTTGGAAATCCAAATAGTTTCGATTCGTTCTGAGAAGAGCGCCACGTTTTTCTACGAGCTTAAACATTTATCGCCACAGATGTTTCAATACATTTAAATAAAGTTAATTTTATTAGTGCAGCTCTCAAACGTTTAAAATTAAATTACATAAATGGTGCAATATTTCCCAAACATTTCTTTGGTTTGACCCCAAACGACCTCCGTTGACTGCAGAAGGGTGGAGGGTTACTGAACGATGCTTCGCTCTGTGCCAAAGTTGTAGTAAAACTGTAGGGAGAACAAGAGGAGGATGTAAACACTCTGATTCATGAGAATATGCAGTCAAAACAAAATCCTCAAACATTAACTACACAAACACAAGCAGAAAAAACACCCATTCATCTAAAGAAACTTCATTTGCACTGATTTGGACCTGAAGCAAATTACCCATTAATGAAAATGTAATTTAATAATATTCACTAAAACTGCAGCAGGAACCCCAGAGCATTAAATGTATAGAAGCACTGCCCTCCTGTGGGCCAGTCTGGGCATGTCCATTAATAACGCCATAAATCTGGTTAGTTCAACTAAACGTTAGGTCACTGGGCAGGACTAAAAGCTAGATGCTAAAGCTAATGTGATAGATTATTTTGGCTACTACTAATAAGAAAAAAATCTACAAGCAAACTATGTTAAAGTAACAGAAACAAGTGATTCTTTTTAACATTTCTGTAGAATATGGGTTTTATTTTACATTATATTGTTGTCTTGTTCTTAATCTTGGCACTGTAGAAGTTGTTTATTTTACATTCTATAATTTATATAATAAAACTTAAAACATTTCTTTGAAGGTGTAATACTTTGGATGGGCATTTAAAATAAACTAATAAAAAAAAACTTATTCCATCTGTGTAATAATTAGTTACTTTGCGTTGTAACATCTGGCTGTAAATTATTGTCCTAACGACTTTGGTGCAGACGATGTGAGCGTAAACTCAAACTTTGAAATAACATCCTGTAACAGTTTTAAGAGAACAAAAGTTATCCAATTAATCAAAGTTAATAAAGTTATTAAGCTAATCCAACACAAATTTGAAACTTTATTGGCTCCCAGGACAAACTAATTCAAACTGAGAACGTGATAAAATCCATGAAACTGCACTGATATTAAAAAATTGTAAGAAAAAGTTTTCCAAAGAGCTTTAAAGTCAGGAACCACAGTGAAACATTTCAGTTTGGGTATATAATGTGTATAATGTGTATAATGTGTATAATGCGTATAATGCGTATAATGCGTATAATGCGTATGTGTATAATGCGTATAATGTGCATAATGCATATAATGCATATAATGCATATAATGTGTATAATTCGTAAAATGCATATAATGTGTATAATGCGTATAATGCATATAATGTGTACAATGTGTATAATGCATATAATGTGTATAATGCATATAATGCGTACAATGTGTATAATGCATATAATGCATATGGGTATAATGCGCATAATGTGCATAATGTGTACAATGTGCATAATGTGTACAATGTGTATAATGTGTAGAATGCGTAGAATGTGTATAATGCATATAATGCGTATAATGTGTATAATGCGTATAATGTGTATGTGTATAATGTGCATAATGCGTATAATGCGTAGAATGTGTATAATGCATATAATGCGTATCATGTGTATAATGCGTATAATGCATATGTGTATAATGCTTATGTGTATAATGTGTATAATGTGTATAATGTGCATAATGCGTATAATGCACATAATGTGTATTATGTGTATAATTTGCATAAAGCCTATAATGCGTATAATGTGTATAATGCATATAATGCGTATAATGTGTATAATGCATATAATGCGTATAATGCATATAATGCGTATAAGGCGTATAATGCGTATAATGCATATAATGCGTATGAGTATGTGTATAATGTGTATAATGTGTATAATGCGTATAATGTGTGCAATGTGTATAATGCGTATAATGCGTATAATGTGTATAATGTGTATAATGCGTATAATGCGTATAATGTGTATAATGCGTATAATGCGTATGCGTATAATGCGTATAATGTGCATAATGCGTATAATGCGTATAATGCGTATGATGAGTATAATGAGTATAATGTGTATAATGTGTATAATGTGCATAATGCGTATAATGCGTATAATGTGTATAATGCATATAATGCGTATAATGCAAATAATGCGTATAATGCGTATAATGTGTATAAGTATGTGTATAATGTGTAAAATGTGTATAATGCGTATGTGTATAATGAGTATAATGTGTATAATGCGTATAATCTGTATAATGCGTATAATGCGTATAATGTGTATCTGGTGGATGTTAGTTGTTATGATCAGATTTGGGAGCAGCTTTGTGCTAAAGTTTATATTTTTAAAATATCTACGTGAGCAGAAGTGGCTAATTGTGTTGATGCAATAAATGGTAAATGGACTGTACTTATATAGCGCCTTTCTACCTTATTTCAAGATACTCAAAGCTCTTTACATTACAATCTGTGCCTCATTTACCCATTCATACAGCACTCTACTAGATCTCTACAAAGCTAATTGAACAAATCATTCTAAAGAGACTAACCAGAGCTTTATCACATTCAAACACCAATGGGACACACATTGAGGCTATGAGGGGTTCAGTGTCTTGCCCAGGGACACTTCGGCAGCTGGTGGATTCGAACCCCCAACTCTTGTATTGGAGGACGACTGCTCTAACCACTCAGCCACAGCCGCCCCTCATAAAGTGACAGCAGAGGATGGTTATTGTTTCTAATCCTTTTTTTTTTTTGTCCTTTAAAACACTCTTTGGGTTGCACAAGTTGTATAGAAATCTGTTTGTATTGATTGGATAAAAGAAGTAAAATTGCTCTGAGTAATTTCATAGCAAACTCTACCACTGGTTGATTATTTCCCATTGCAGCCAGCAGCAGGGCTCAAAGTTCATCAGTTGTACTACTGTCCTAAAGCACTAGGTGATGCTGTACGATCAGTGAAGGAAGTTTTCAACTCTTCCCCCCCAAAAAAGCCTCCTCCATAGCTGAAAATTTCAAATTGGTGGCTTTCCATGGGAAGAAAAAAGCGGCCTTCATCTACTTGTGGCGAAGCTGCGAGTTACCCAAACTGTCACACATCACAAGCCTATTATTTGTGAAAGAACTCAGCCCCCTCCACACAAAAATCAGGCTCCGCATCTCGCACAGTAAATAAATATACCTGTGTGTGTGTGTTTGTGTGCAAATGTGTGTGTGGATGATGGATGGGGGAATGGGGTGTTATCAGGGAGAGCATGTATCAATGTCTGCCAGTTTTACACACAGGCTGACAGGACAGTGACACACCAGAACATGGGCGGCAGTCACCCAGATGAGCTGAGCTTCATTTCCTGTCCCTGCTCCACTGCCAAAAATATGTGACATGTTGTCTTCATTAATTCCACCTCTATTTGGAGCTCTCCCTCTCACACTCCCCTGTACACTACTGTCCCTCCATTCACACACACACACAGAAGCAGGCGGAGAGCTCGCACAAGCTCTAAGAACCAATCGTATACAGGGGCTAATGAAAGCCTTGTCATGTGTGCGCACACGCACGCTCCTTCCACGCTCTCTAAAAATCATTAGCCAGACGCCAACAACATTTCTCCGCAGAGCAAACTACATAAAGATGTCACTTTAAATCGCTTACTAATTAACACTTAAAAAGACACAAATTAGATATGCGTGGCTAAAAGCAATTATAATATCCGCAAGTTTTGCGAGTCATTTGGGAAATGAAAAGAATGCCTAATTGCTGGAACCAACATCATATCAGACATGGCTTAAGTGATGCCTGTTAGGAAATGGTCTTATCTGCAACTGTGGCTGTGATTACAACAGTTTTCCTCAATTACATGTGCATATGGAGAATTCCAGAAAGTACATCTCTTTCATTAATCCATGTTTCTATAATGAAAATAAGCCGAGTGGAATTAGCGCAGAGGTTTTGCAGAGCAGAAACAACAACTCGTAGCAGTAGAGCTCGGACAGTGACCTCTCCTGGACAACAGGAGGAGATAACAAGGCAGGCCCTTGTTTTCTGAATCAAGATGCCTTCGTTGCGCTACATGCAAGTATAAAACAGGAAAATAAGAAAGGGTGAAGTCCATTTCAAGCTTGTTTTCCACAAAATCACTGCCCGTTGTTGTGCACATCTCATCGTGGTGCAATAATAGGAGGAGAGAAGTAAAAATAACACAATGGTGAGGGATGTTTCCACATGGAAACTAATTATCAAGCTAAGCTGTGACTTATCCTCATCAGCCTGGCCCCACCATTAATCTTGTGCTGTCGTCCACTTCACTAAATCCTGTGTGTTACACTATCTCACATTTACTTCATCAGCTCCAGCGCCACTGTAATTAATGATTTCTCATGCCCTTCCCTTCTCTTCCCCGGCTCAGCTCACCATGTGTCCTCCTGCTAATCACACTCTCCGAGAGAAGAAAAGGCAGCAGCAGGAGGAGGAGGAGGAGGAGGAGGAGAGAAAGCAAGAGTGGAGAAGAGAGTAGGAAGAAATAAAAGACAAGAACATACAGGATGAGCAGTCAGCCTGTCTCCACTCTGGACACACACACGTGCACACGTATGTGCCATTAATACCTGCGCCGACAATGAGCTTCATTCAGATGACCATATGACAAGATGGCGACTCTGTGATTTGGATAGTGTGTGACAGAAGACAGAGGCAGAGTGCAGAACAGACACCCGGTTTGATGAGGGACTGTTTGCTCTGTAACACATCTCAAACCCAACAGCACCTGTTCTTTTACAGTGCTCTGTCACTTCCTGGCAGTTCTGATACCAAGATACCGTGCTAATGAGAGAGAAGGGGGGTTGTCACTCTCTTTAAAGCATACACACACACACACACACACACACCTAGACAAAGACACACTCTTCCTCTCTCTTGTTCGCACAAACACAAGAGTTGCGCACAGACAATTTTTTTCCCTACACATGCCTGTAGGCTACAGTGTTTCATCAGAAATGTGGAGAACGTTGTAGTGTTTTTCATCCAGCCTACAATGCATCGCTTGCTTTAAACTTGGAGGCTGATTGGAAGATTCAAAGAAAGTTACACATGTAGAAACTGACCAGAAAGGCTCTTTAAGATTTAGAGCACCGGGGGAGATGGTAGATTGAGCTGTTGCAGGGAAGAATTAAGGAATAAAAGTCAATAATTCAGGAGGGGGAGGCGAAGCTTTTAAGGGAGAATGGCTGCCTAGCATGGCCATGCTTTTATTCAATTGGGGCTTAGTGGAGCCAACAGGGCCTCGCTGTCTCAGACACTTAATTACAACCCCAAGACCGTTTGCTTTGCATTCTGGGCCAGCGGCATTGGCGGCAGTCGAGCGTTGCAGCCTCTACTCACTTCCTCCTCGATCTCTGCCAGGGATTTGATCGTAATGCCCATTAAATTGACTTGCTGCATCTGAAATCAAAAGCAGGGAGAGGAGGAGGGAGAGGAAGAAGAAGGAGGAAGGGAAAAAAAAAAAAAAAAAAAACATGAAACATGGCGGTTAGGCTCATGGCTAAGTAAGCATGCTTAAAATCTTTAATCCTTTCCCTCTCTGTGTCAATATGAATGGGGCTATAGTGACAACCACTGCCAGCCAGCCCAGTGGACTGCATTGAGCCAGCTCTGCCTGACTGCACACATTCATCACTCAGTCTGGAAGGAAGGCAAGGAAAGAAAAAGAGGAAGGAAAGAAAGGAGGAAGAAAGAAGTGGTCTTCACCTGAAGACAGAACTATCATTATCATCTGTTCCATCCAACAACAACAACAAAAACAGCTTTTACCTCTTGGGGCTTTTCATAAAACTTCTCAGAGACTACGAACGGCACATCATCCAGAGCTGCAAAACATAAGACAAAAAGAAGTTTAAACAAAAACATTTTAATCTCTATTCTTGGTCTCGATTATTTGCACAGAACTAAATGTGGAATTATAAAAACAGCAAAGCTATCAACATCCCCTGCCACCCCAACCATTCCCCTCCCTCTGTCTACTGGGAGAAGATGAAAGGCTTTTTTTTTTAATTCTCCACTGTATCTGAGCACCTCCACTCTCTCCTCCAGCCCAGCCCTTTCCCAGCCCTCTTCCAGTTTAATTACTCTTGATTATTCCCGATTCCGTCTTGTCTGAGAGATGTTCACCTCTGAAACAAAGACACACTCGCATTATACGCACAAGAAAAGCGCAGAGACGAGAGACAAAACATTCACGAGATATCAAATTTGCATGAAAATAAGCCACACTGTTCAGCCAGGAAAAAGTGGATTGAAATGAGGACTTGCCAGGAGCGTGGTAGTATAATTAGCATTTGACCAAACAAACGAGCTTCAACAGAGCTATAATTAAGCAGGCCTGTAATTAAGTGTATGCCCTTTATCATAATGATCGTGGTTAAAACGGTGTGATGGCTGCCAGTTGATTATTAATGGTGTAACCCCGTCCTGCATGCATCCTGCACTGGAATCAAGGTGTCACGACTGTCAGGCTAGAGAGCAGCCCTTTGTTTATAAAATACATTAGGGCCCAAATTAACACAGGGTGACAAGAAGCACAAAGCCTCACGTTTCCAAGCTGAAGGGAAAACTGCAGCTGCTCGGCTTCATTGTAAGAACTCCCAATCCTGGAGTGACAAAACTTTGCCGGTGCCGGCTTTGACAAGAGCTCCAACTATCAGGGGGCCCGGTTTCAAACGGATTCTCTTTAGCCCACAGTCCATCAGACCGCTGGCACAGGAAGAGGAACTCATAAAAGCAAGCTGGTGCTTTTCATGAGTCATCGTTTGGGAGCTGGCAATCCTTCAGGTCTTTCTTGTTCGCCTTCGCATGTGAAAGTTTGAAATGATAAAATTTTTCCTGACACTTATTCAAGTAGCTTTTTTTTTTCCAGGTTATTACATAGATCCATAGTTTAGCATGTATGATTAAAGTTTGTGCAAAATGATCTTTGTAATCAGTCTTCTTAGGGGCCAAAGACAAAGCTTCTTTGCTTTGATTCACCTTTTGTACAATTTTTAAAATTGTGCAGACATGCATTGAGCTGAATGCTGTTCTGTTTGCTTAGATGGCATTAATACAAAAACAACAAGCTATTTTAGTTTTTAAATTTTCAATATTTTTTAGATGAAACTACATGTATCGTATATTTACCATAAAAAGGTTCAATTAAATAAATATTTCAGTCAGATCTTCAAATATCAACATAAAGTTAAGCAGAGCAGCTTCATGTCACATCCTTTTTGTCAAAAAAAGACACAACCCTTTATTTATTTATTTGGTAAAAACATTTGTTATTGGAATTAATAGTTGTGTCATGCTTACAAGTTGATGAATTATCAGGCAAAACACATAATGATTTGAAAATCCAAGTTCTTGTTTTATTTAGTTTTTCATAAAGAGAAGATGAAGAAAACAAAGGTCACCTGCAGAGAAGATCACCTGATCGATGATGAGTCATGTTCTGATGTCATGAACAGCCTGTCATTGTATCTGTTGGTGGTCATCTTGTTCTAATTTAGTTTTAGTTTGACTCAGATAAAATACCTAAATATCTCTACTCTTCTAACACTCAGGGAAGAATCACATTCAATACATTTATATTATGATGTATTTACAGAAACCTCAGGTCTTGACAGAAAACTAAAGTATCAAAATAGCTCTGTAGAAAAGAGATGTGCCAGAAATGTTTTCCTCATTGGGATTAAATTGTTTTTATGATTTATGTGAGGATCTCACACAACACGACACTGGATGGTTTTGTTAATCTAATTACTAAATTAAACTTTTTTATTAGTATTTATATAAATATGGAATTTTTCATAATGGATCCAAAAAGCAAGAACCCAATATTTTATTTTTATTATTGTTTTTTCAGCAAACACCTGAAATGTTGATTTTACCAGCAGCCAAAGTTGAGGTAAAAAGGCACCGAGTAACCAAAATCAAAATGATTTGTCAATAAAATCTGAGCTCAGTTTAATGGAAAGACATCTAATTGTTCAAACCACTGTCTTACTGGGCTGAGACTGTTGGAAACCAGCTGGTGAACAGCAAGGGGTTTTCCAAAATGTCTCATAACATTTGCAGGGCTGCAGTGGTGCACAAAGTTGTTGCTAAAATTTTGAATTGAATGAGTTCTTATGACAGAAAACATCCCAAGTGGGTACATAGTGGGTTTTGGCAGGTACAATGTGGGAGGAGGTGGGCAACAAAATAATGCATATGGGATAGAATAAAGCGATGCAAGCTGTGCACACAAAAACAGGTGTTCATTGTCAAAACTCAAGTAATGCCAAACACTGCCACACAGCTCACTAATCACTTTGTCGCAAACACTAAAAATTGAGTTTACAAATAAAAATGCACCAATTTCATGCAATTTTGAGTCGTCAACTTGTCTCCAACAGCTGCAGCTTGGTGCCATGCTGGTTTAAGATATTTCAGTCTGCATCAAAGTGGAGACACCAATCAGATTAAAGATAATGTTGTTACTTAAGGTCCCCAGAAATATTGTTTTAAAAGTCAGATCTATTGCACCAGAGCAACCTTCAATGTGTGATTTTAATTTGTTGTGAAGAGACAGCCAAGACAACTAGTGTAACGAAGACAACTAGTGTAACAAAGACCACTAGTGTAACAAAGACAACTAG